TGAGTTCAAACCCCAGCACCATCAAAAAAAAACAAAAACAAAACTAATGAAAAATAATACAATTCAATGAACCCCTACAGGCCCAGTTTCAATACTAAAGATTCTGCTCCACTGAATCTCTGGAAAAAATATGGCCATCTTATTTATACTCATTTTGTATTTGGTACGGCTTAATCTAGCCTCTTCAGGTGCTTGTGAATTCAAAACCTCTTACTTTGCACCTGTTTGTCTCTAAGTTGGAAGTAGTAACAGTACACATATTTCAGAAGGTTGCTGTGAGGGGTGAATTGATTCACCTAAAATGTTTAGACCAATGTCTAGAACTTAGTACATGCTCAATAAACAAGACTATTAACATTTAATACAAATCTCTTTCTACCACAGGCCCTTTGCAGTCTGAGTGCTTTCTTCTCCCCAGTTTAGTTATATCTACCAGTAGTTCAAATGTTACACCTTCAGCCTCTAACCTTACAAGATTAGGCTGTATTATCTTAATACATTCTATGCTTTTCCTGAATGGTACTTACTTGAAATTATTAATTTGTGAAGTGTTTTTCCATCACAGTATAAGGAAGAAGAGGTGAGAAAATGGTGTCTTGGGTTCCATTTTTGCCCCAGCACCTAGTACATAGTAGATACTCAGAAAACATTTATTGAATATTTAAGGATCAATTCTTTTTATCTAATTTTCATTAAGTCCTCTGCAATAAACCAATTATGTATAAAGCCAATTATGAAAACAAATTTTTAACAGGCTTAAACACCTTTTCAGTTAGAAAAGTTAAAAATATTCCAGATACATTAACAACACTACTTTTTTGGTTGTTTTATACGGGGGTTTATACTCTGGCCTCATGCTTATGAGGCAGGCGCTCTTACTGCTTTGAGCCATTTCACCAGCAATAACACTACTTTTTAACTTAAAACAACAAAATGTACTTTCATGTTTTAAAGAGTATTTTTATGTAGATTTTTTTCAGGAAAAAAATGTTTTTGATACTATCTATGCAGATTTTTTTCCCCAGGCTGGCTTCAAACCGCAATCCTCCTGATCTTTGCCTCCTGACTAGCTAGGATTACAGTTTAATTGTAAAGTAAGAAATGATGCAGTTAAAGTCAGGGGCACTCTGGACGTGTGCAGTTTAATAATGCTCCCCAGGTGAGTTTAACTCACATTTCTACATAAAAATCCTGGTTTGGGGCACTACCGTCCTTACCAATCATCTGCAATGTGGGCAAGAAATCCTAATAATTTGCAATAAAGCCCTCTAAGCCATTAACTTTTCTGAGTCTCAGCCCACAAGGGTATGGCATCTTTCTCTCAGTACACTGCACCCTGAATTTCTTTACTAGTGATTAAGGTTACTTTCCCATTATTCCTTGATCTGGCTCACCAGAACTAAGGTAGTAAGGCTCCTTTCTCAAAGGTTCACACTCCTCCTTCAGCTTGGTCAACCAATTGTTCCTATGTGGGAAAATTTAAATTTTGGAATAGCAGTTTTCATGACCTTCTTCCTGGTAGTAGTAAACGACAAATGTACCAGAAATCCCTTTTGAACTGTTTCAGCATGGTTTTTTGTTTGTTTGTTCAACAGATAACATTTGTTGGTGCATTCTGATCATCTCTGTACATTTGGTTGTTGATTGGAAAACTATTCATTTCTATCCAGTTGGTTAGGCAGTCTATGGTCTGCCTCAGAATGGTCTCCTCCTCTCCTCTGTCCTCGGTGATCTGCAGGAGTAGCTTTGCTGTCTGTATTCTCTCCTAGGCAGACAGCAGCATGCTGCCTCTTGGTTTCTTTTGACCAAGTGACTTCCTTCTACTGTTACATTCCCATATCTTGACTCCACCAGCTCTTTTTTTTTTCAGTGAAAGGAAGAGTAAAGCTCATTAGGAAAGCTACACTGTCAACCGCCTGAAAGCGGGTGTCTCTAGAGGGAGCAACAGGGTCAGAAGACAAAGACATTTCCTGTTCCCTTCGAAGGAAATGGGAGCAAAAGCTCTCCACCAACTCTTAATTGTATATTACATATTAAAATACGTTACTATTCCTGTACAGTGAATTATCTGAGTCCTAAGGTATAATTTTTGGGGAAGTGTTACTCTTTTTTACATTACATCTTACAGTCTTCAGAGATCATGGTTAGTTTTTAAAGAGGTAATACCTGAATTCATTTTGGTGACTTAAGATGCAATTTAGGTACTCATTTTATGCTTTCAAATAAAATCTACATTTAATTTACTAAGAGTTTAAGCACAAATTAAAAAAAAGAAGCTAAATAGTTTTAGGTTTGAGTGAACTTGGAAATAAGAGCATTGTTTCCAGCTGTCTCAAACACATACAGCAATATCAATGGGAAGGGACTAGTTAACACCACCTGTGCTCCTAAACTACCAAACAGCCGAGACACATACAAATTTTATGGCAAGTAATCTAAAACTCTTCTAAAAATGATTAACTGTTATTCTATCCAGCAAGGAAACCAATACAACAGAGCTATCTAATTAGTTAAGACACTAGATATTTGTGGAGTTTCAGTGTCTAATAACAAACCTCTAGACCTTCAAGATCTCACAACTTCTAAGTACCAGTTACACATTTTAAAGGGTTGGTATCTATTTTAAACTACATATATAAGTACCATAGTACACAATTTCAAGTGAATTCATATATACTAAAAATTCTCAAGCACCATCTGTGTTTGTAGCACAACCTGACAACCTCCAAAGATTTCACTGTATATACTAGAAAGTCATTAGCATAACTTTCAAAAATAAAATTTCACATGGGGTAGGACAAATACTATCAAGTAGCTCAGTTCTCCACCTCTAGAACGCTGACATACATCAATCTGTATACTGACAAACGAGCTCAAAGGACAAGTTGTAATTTTAACTTAACCAAAAATTATTTGAGTATAAAATGTAACCACTAGAAATTAAAACTCTAATTATTTTAGAGTAGTTTTTGCTTTTTTTTTTTGCAGCACTTCTGGAGTTTGAACCTAGGGCCTCATGGTTGCTAGGCAGGAGCTCTTATTGCTTGAACCACTCCACCAGTCCTAGAATAGTTTTTGTTTGGTTTGGTTTGAGAGGGCATCTCACTATGTTGCCCAGGCTGACCTTGAACTCCTAGGCTAAGGCAATTCTGGTGCTTCAACCTTCTGAGCTGCTGGTATTACAGGTATGCACTATAGTAACTGGCCCTCAAAGTAGTTATTTCAGTACCATTAAATTCTGGCAAAATGTAGTTCTTTAAAAAAAATTTTTTTTTCTCAACTTTATGATCCAAAAGCATTGTCATATTGCTAATAAAAATATTAAAATGTCTGTCATGTCTGAACTAATTATCTGACCTAGGAGCTCTAAGGTGTTACTAAAAAGAAATAATCAGATAATTTTAATGTTATGATAGTTCAAAGTAATGAAGAAACATAATTGATACCACTAATGGTGACCTTCCTTGAGTTTACAATTTAATATTTCACTTAAGTCAGTTTTTCTGATCCAGTCTAGTTTACCCCAGAATACCAACAGAAGTCATAAAATTCAAGAAAACATCCTATATTGTTGGTTACAATGCCAAAAATAGCCGTTAGAAATAAAATATTTGCTGATAAAAATGGCCTTTTTATTCTGAACTATTTTTGTTATACGTGTATTTAAAAATTCATTATTTAGGCGGTAAGGGAGGGGGTGGGGGCAGGGGGGAGAAATGACCCAAGCCTTGTGTGCACATATGAATAATAAAAGAAAAAAAATTCATTATTTAAAAAAAGATGACTTAAATATATTTCAAGTCTCAAACTTAACTTGAAAGAAATGTATTATACCATGTCAACTTGAAAAATAATGAAGTTTGTACAGACACATGTAAGATGTCTGCATTAGTTGCATATGTGTCATCAAAATCTTCACATTTTAGTACTTTTATTTTTTTGGTATTGAGAACTGAACCCATGGCTTCGTGTGTGCTAAGCATGCACTCTACCACTGAACTATATACCCCCGTCCCACATTTTAGCTTTTTTTTTGGTACTGGGGCTTGAACTCAGGCCCTTTTTTGATGGGTTTTTTTGAGATAGGTCTCGAAAACTATTTGCTAGGGCTGGCTTTGAACCCTGATCCTATCTCTGCCTCCTGCTTAGCTGGGATTACAGGCGTGAGCCACCAGTGTCTACGCTACATTTTAGCATTTTTAAAGGGAAATTAAAAGTAGGAGATTTTTGCTATATTATGTGATTAAAGACAGTACTTTTTATGTGTAAAAATAATTTACACCAAAAAAAAGACTGATACTTTAACAAGAACAAAATGAGTAATAAAAAACTAGCAAAAGCTATTATAAAAAGTAATAAATTCCTGTAAGAGTCCTGTGTTTACACAGATGGCAGTCTAATTTAAGTTATACTATAGAACAGTAACATGGGGGTATTTGAAATTCAAGCTGCATTTGTCAAACAGTTTTAACCTGAGTTTTTGACGTCTTCAGAAATTCATTGGACAAGGTATGAAAGCACAGTTATTTTTGTGTAAAATTGTTAAATAACATTTACAGCATTTTTGTGTTCTGAACATGAGCACACAAATTGAAAAGCTGTTACATTTTTCCTTCTGTGCAAGCATGATGTTGCTTTAGTTCAAAATGCCTTAGACTTAAATCTATTTTTTTTCCTTTTTTTTTTGTGGTACTGGGGCTTGAACTCAGGGCCTTCACCTTGAACCACTCCACCAGCCTTATTTTTGTGAAGGGTTTTTTTCAGATAGGGTCTTGCAGAACTATTTGTGCCTAAGCTGGCTTTGAACCATGAGCCTCCTGATCTCTGCATCCTGAGTAGCTAGGATGACAGGCAAGAGCCACCAGTACCTGGCTTAGACTTAAATCTTATTTTCACATTTTGACTTATTTCAGAACAAATGTAAGAAGATTATCATACATACATGAATATCCCCATGAAATAAATCACACTCACTGAATTAAACAAGTTCACTAAAGAATATCAAAAAAAGTTTCCTCCTATAAATATTTTTTATTTATTTTGTGTTTAGAAGGCGCAATTTTAAGTACTATTAACAGAAAATACATAACAAAAGCTTCCTAACAAGTGAAAAAAATAATTATAAATGCTGAAAAAATTGGCCTCATTAACATATTTACAGACTTTTACTTAATACATACTCCTTTGGAAATTAATTATATGACATTTATACAAGCATTAACATTTCCAAATCACCCTGGGTAGTGCACACTTCAGTTCTTTACTATCTGTACCCAAAGTTGAAAGTCATTCAGATTTGGAAGATAGAACTGACAAGCAATAGTCTTCTGGTCAATCTGAGACACTGCTGACATATTGTTCTGTTCCTTCCCCTAAGGATATTTCTGTTGAGGAAGTGTCCTTATGCTGCTTCTTCTCTTTGCTCTGCTCTTCCTGAAGCTTCAGAATTATGTTTCGAATTTCTTCTCTTTTTGTTCTCATTCTTGGGGGAGGAAACCAGTTCACCAAATTCATAGGTAGTTCAAAATTTAGTATTGGATTCTGAAAATAAGAAGTAAATGCCTATTTGAAAATTATAATAATATTTTAGTTTCAATCACAAAACACTCTGACGTTAAAAAAGAAATCATCAATGTGTATTGGTTCATTACTGCTCACATGCCAGGCACTGCAGATGTAAGACAGTTATTACATACATACCTTTTTGGCTAGATTAGAGGTTGGCAAACTACACTCACTGACCCAAACTTTGCATATTGCCTATTTTTGTAATAATGTTTTATTGGGATACAGACATATTAACTCATTTACATATGGTCTGTAATATTTTTAAAACAGTAGAACTAAGAGAAGCAACAGAGGCTGTATGGCTGCAAAGTCTAAAATATTTACCGTCTTGGTCTTTATAAAAAGGTTGTCAGCCCTAGGCTAGATAGATAATTCAACAATTAAAGTTATAATTATATGACAAGTAGTGAGACAGAAGCATGGAGTGATATGAAAATAAATATTGGAGAGCTTAACGCAATTCCAAAAAAAATCTGATATTTAAGCTAAACCTAAAGAATGAGTAGATGTCAGCCAGCCAAGAAATAACAGAAGCAATAGGGCAACAGTGGTCTAGGAAGGAACAGTATTGAGGCCTAGACACAAGGAAGGACATGACACAATATAAAAGCTTGACTTTCAGCTGGCTGATGTAGAGAATGCCAAATTGAGAATGGTATGAAAATGAGGCAAGAAGCTTAGATAGGGATTAGATCACACAGAAGTTTATAGGCCATTTGAAGGGTTTTGTTTTTTAATTCAACAGCAACAGGAAGATACTAATGCAGGAAAGTAGAATGATTAGATTCGGGTTTTTGCAAAACAACAGTGAAAAATGCAAGGCAGGAGGCATGGCCGTGTGTTAGAGATTGAAGAAGCTTAGAATAGTGATGTTAGTACATTGGACTTGGAAAGTGGTAATATAGCTGACCTTAAGTGATGAAGTTCACAGGGCTTAATAGTTCATCCATTGAATAGTATGTGAAGAGGAAAGAGTCAAGATCACTGTAAAGAATACCTAAGAGAGGTATGTGTGGTATTATACATCTGAAGTCACAAGGACGAGAGTGAAAAGGAAATGGTCAACAATGGGAAACAGTACTGGAAGATCAAGAACAATTTTAATATAAAGGTAAGGAAGATGCTCAATTTTAGAGATCTGAGAAGCAAGCAGAATTTGTAGAAATAGAGACAATGAATATAAGTGCTTCTCAAAAAGAAAAAAAAATATATACATGAAGGGGAGAAAAGTAGTTTAAAGAGGTAGTCTGAATCACAGAAGAGATTTGGTAAGGTAGAAAGAGCCAGTGGAGAGGGCAAGTGATGGAATGAGGACAACGAGCCTTGGATTTAGTGATCAATAAATACAGAATTTTTATAACTTAAAGTTCTCCAATTCAGGAAGTCTTCTGATTCCCTGGAATAATATTTGAAACAACCATTTTCAAAGTCTTTAAAGTATTTGCCTATTGTATTCATTACAAAAGAATAAAGTCAAACATACTATTTCATTATTATATCAGATCTGATAAACTGAAACTCACCTCAAAAAAGCTCTCCACATACTGCAATATATATACACCACAATCACTGAAGTTGTTTTGCTGGGGAACTTTTGGATTAGAGCCTTTCATAACATCTTTGGAAAAGCTTCTTTTACTTCCTTTTTTAACTTCCCATTCTACTTCTAAATACCTGTAATAATGCATAAAGGATATACACATTATATAAATATGTATACTTTCTCATCTCTAAAGGAATATGAAACAAAGTGTGGGGTGCAATTTTAAACTTACTCTCTTAGAATTTTAACAACATTTGACCGAGAAGGGCCTCTCAATGAGTCCATAAGTAGTATACAAGGTCTGCAGAGTAGAAATGACCAAAAGTTGAATACTTTATGGCACAAAGACATAAAAATATTTCAAATAGTATATCAGCAAGATTAAAAACCTTTCAAATTCCTTTTGTTTGTCTCAGTAAATACTGAGGAATAAAGCAAATCTTATTGATACATGCAGCCTAAGAAAACTTAAATATCATGGCTATATTAAACATTGTTATAGTAACTTAACTGTATCTCTTTATAAACTCACTAAATTGCCTTCGTTGGTTCCTAAAAACTATTGTCAATATTTAATAGAAAGTTATATTGAAATGTGAACAACCACATACTCCAATTCCATTTCAGTTATTCTCTATATAACTCAGATCCAAACTTTGTATGGTAAACCTAAGAAAGTAAGGAACTTTAATGTAATGTCAAGTGCTGAAATGAGGCTGTTCTTAGCTAAAATTTTATGGGATTTGGAGCACATCCCTGTCCTACTCTCCCCAACCCCCTCTGTACTGAGGGTTAAACCTACAGCCTTATGCTAAGTACATGCCTACCATGGAGCCATGCCCCCAACTCTCAAATGTCTCTATACTTTCTTTTATAAATGATGTTTGCCTTTCAAAATCCTTTAATGGAGTTTCTGCCAACATTTTCTACAACCAAGTTAGAGTTGGGGGCAGCAGCTCACTCTTATAATTCTAGCTACACAGAAGGCAGAGGTCAGGAGGATGTCAGTTTGAAGTCAGCCTGGGCAAATAGTTCTTAAGACCCTATCTCAAAAAAACCCATCACACACACAAAAAAAGGCCAGGGGGCTGATGGAGTGGCTCAAGGTGTAGGCTCTGCTTTCAAACCCCAGTACCACAAAAAACAAAAAAACCCAAAAAAAACCCAAAGCAAACCCACAAAACACAAACCAGTTAAAGGAGAGTAGAACCACAAGTAGGTAAATACTTCATCACCTAAGAAATTTGGGGCCTCTGGAAAGACTTCAGAACACATATGTACCTAAAAACTAACAATGACTCACTCATCCAGGGGTCCACATGGAACTTCTCCTTTAGGACTGCCATAAGTCACTCTTACAGCCCTCTTATAACAGCTATGGAACCAGTGCAAACAAAGTCCAACCTCATGTCACTCTTTTGTTACAAGTTTTTTTACTCCAAAATGCTACACAACTAATAATGATACATTGTCAAGATATGTGTACATCCATGAATGCAGAGACTGGGAAAAATGGTCCCTGAACAGCATGCTTGACTTTTCCTTAGTGACCTGCCAGCACTTGTGAATTCTGCTTACGTGTTTAAATAAAACCTTCCCATTCACGGGCTGGAGAGGTGGCTCAAGCAGTAAAGCACCTACCTAGCAAAGTAAAGCCATCAGTTCAAACCCCAGTACCTCACACACAAAGACAAAAACAATTCCCCAAACTTCCCATTCATGTTTTATTTTATGACTGTACTTAAATAAAAATTGTCACGCAAATTGTTAAGATATACAGTTAATGCTTACTGTTTACAGACAGTAGGCTTTAAATGCCACTGTCCTATTTCTGAATTACAGTTGTCATCAGCAAGGAATCCATCATCACTGCTATCATCCTAAAAACAGACAGTCTACTGTTAGTATTAAAAATCTGCTATCTAAACAACTAATAACCTAAAAAAATAGTATCATGAAGGACAAAACTACTTGTAATGAATATGAGCAAAAATATTTCTACTAAGATAATCAGACTACAACACTGACATTTTAATCAAGAGAAACCAATCAGAAATTGTACTATTTATTTAATGAACACAGAATAAATCTTTAAAGACTATGACTAACTTTTTTCATATCAAATACTATTGCTCTGATCTTAGTTTATTTTTATAAAAGTTTAGTTTGTTGACTAAGATAGTATTTTACAACAGGAAATGATTAACACATTATTCCTTTATATGAATAATTTTTTAAATATCAGGAACATTTAAAGCGTTTTTAGAAACACTGTTTTCTTGAAGAGAACTATGTCGACTTCATTTGAGAGAAAAAAGCTTAGTCTTATTTTGAAGATTTTCTTCAATGTAAAATAAACCAGGTTTTGTTGTTATGTGTGAAAATTTTTAGCAACTTTATGAATAAAATAATAGTAAGAATAACTAGGTTAGATTAACTAATTCACATGACGGGTAATTGCTATTACCAAAGGAGTTAAAGAAAAAGTGCTTACTATAACCATGAATAATAAATCCCTATACAGGTTGAGTATTCCTTATCTGAAATGCTTGGACACTTCTATATTTCAGATTTCGATGGTTTATGGACTTTTAGAATATTTGTATAGATTTTTATCAGATGATGATTCCTAATCCAATTATCAGAAATCTGGATCATTTTGCATTTCAGATTAGGGGTGCTCAATCTGTAAACTGGAGGAAAACAACCTGAATTTTACAGCAATGCACTGTCAACCAAAGGAGAGAACAAAAATGACTGGGTGCCAGTGGCTCACGCCTGTAACCCTAGCTACTCAGGAAGCAAAGATCAAGAGAATCGCATTTTGAAGCTAGCCTGGGCAAACAGTTCATGAGACCCTGTCTTGAAAAAACCCTTTACAAAAAAAGGCTGGTGGAGGGGCTCAACGTGTAGGCCCTGAGTTCAAACTCCAGTACTGCAAAATAAAAGCACAAAAATGGCTTTATGTCCCTAAGAAGATAAAGTAAAAAGGAAATTCTGTACAGAATAAAGCCATCATCACTAATAAGTAAACCACTCAAAATTTGTTCTAGCCACTAAAGAAAGGTCAGAAAATTAAGGAAATAGTTTGTTGAACTTTAATCTGAATATAAAGTCCTTTTTAACTGAAGCTATAAAATATTTTCAAAAATATTTGTGGAGTCCATAATATTTATTAGGGAAAATGAGTCTAAGGGAATATTATAATTTACCTACATTGATGTGAATTATCTGTTCCTGTCATGATAAACATTAAATTATAAAAATAAAAATTACTGGAAAAACTGTTATATAATTTTGTCACACTCATATACTACATACTTGAAATTTAGCCATTTGATTCTTGAGCCACTCCATGAGCCCTTTTTTGTGATGGGTTTTTTCGAGATAGGATCTTGTGAAGTATTTGTCTGGGCTGACTTCGAATCGTGACACCCCGATCTTTACCTCCTGAGTAACTAGGATTATAGGCATGAGCCCATGGTACCCCATAAATATTTTAAAAGGGGAAGGGGGAGGAGATGGGCATGGTGGTGGCTGGATTAGTCAGGGAATTAATTTTTCTTCTATGTGGCACTAAGGATCAAACCGAGGGTCTTCCACATAGTGACACTGAGCTCTACAGTCTCCATCTAGAGAGACTTAATTTTATATTAAAACTTTCCAAGGTACTGTTAGAGTTTAGCACATATCACAATGGAAAAAAATTACTATTACATTTACACTGGGAATTTCTATTTTGAAAATTGTGTTTTGTGGTAGGACCCAAATCCAAAAGCCATGTAAATTACTGTTGACAGAACTGCTTAGAGGATTCTAAGGAGGGGCTGGGAGCGTGGCTCTTGTGGTAGAGCAAGTGCCTACCAAGTGTGAGTCCCTGAACCCAAATCCCAATGCTATCAAAAAAGAAAAGAAAATCTTTTAATTAGAGAAAACATTAGAACGTTTTTCTATGCATTAGGTTTTACCTGGTTATCCTGATCTTCTGAGAAGTCAATGAGTTCATCTTCAAGCATTTTAGCACCTTCAGCAGATTGATCACCATAGTTTAGTCTGATTTTACTTAAGCCATCTGTATCAATAAGAAGCATTATATAATAAAAAAGGCCATGCCTATAACTCATAATTAGTAACATAGCATTACGCTACTAATTAATTGATGATAGAGTAGTTAAGGATACAAAATCTGCTTTAGTATGTAATATCCCAAATATAAACTAACTGATGTTAAATAAAAACCTGGATTGACATGTCAATTACAGAACTGTTTTGGCTACTACAAGCCCTGAGATTCATCAAATTTAAAGGTAAGGAATTAGTTATATGATTAAATATATGGACACATATATATGTAAATGAATATTTTTGCATTAGGTATGTCATATACCTTTAATAATGGGAGCCACATAGTCTGAAAATATAAATGCCCAAACAGCAAGAACAGAAAACTGTAGAAAATTGTACACAAAATAATGTACAATTTTAAAATTAAAATCATGAAATATGGAAACTTGCACAATAAAGGGTAAAAATAAATTAATAAATAGGCTTGCTTTTGGACAAATAATAAAAACACAGTATGACATATGATAAACAGTCATCTTAGGATGGTAGTTATAAGTGAGTTTTTCTCACTGAATATTTTCCAGTCATGTTTGGTTATATTCATAGATTTTTTTTTTTCTTCTGGTGGTACTAGGGTTGGAACTCAGGGCTTTGTGTTTGCTAGTCAGGCACTCTACCACTTGAGCTACACCTCCAACATTTCATATTTTTTTTAATAAAATAAAACTACACAAAAGTAAATAGTTCATAGAAAAAGTTGAAATAGATACTTTTAAAGGCCCATACCAAGAATTTAAATGGTTAAAATTCTTTTGCTGAAAGCTTATCAAGAAAAATTTTTCAAAGAAAAGTAAGATTTACAAGAGAACTGAGCCATGGATTTTAATATCAAATATACCAATACTGTTTAATACAGAGCATAGTATTTCAAAAATTTAAAAAGCATGACTTTTAGGTATTTTAAATAAAATATTTTTTGGCATAGGTTATTAAGTTATAAGGGATTAAAAATATTAATATAAAAAGAATGGGAAGGAAGTAAAATAATATGTACTCTTGAAAAGATATGTATGTAAATCTAAATGTTGTGATCAGAAACACAGTACTTAAAATAACTAGTTGGGCATGGTGGCTCACATCTATAATCCCAGTGACTCAGGCGGTGGAGATTAGGAGGCTCCTGGTTTGAGGCTAGACTAGGCAAAAAGTAAGATACCATCTCAACAAATAAGCTGGGCTTGGTGACAGCAGGCCTGTCACCTCAGCTATAGGGGAGGAGTAGGTAGGAACAAGGTCCAATGCCAGTCTAGGCAAAAAGTGAGACCTAACTGAAAAATATCCTAAAGCAAAAAGGGATAGAGGAATGGTTTAAATGTTTGCTTGGCAAGCACAAGGACCTGATTTCAAACCCCAGTACTTAAAAAAACCAAAGAAAAATAAACCTAACCAAGCACAATGGTAAGTCCTTTTAAAGAAACAACAACCTCTTCCATGTATGTTTCAAAAATCTGTGTTTTTATGTTTAAATCTAAATAAAATGTGTTCAAATCTTCAGGTAATTAAGAACTAGCTAATTACAATCTATTTCTATCAGTTTCCTATCTTCAGAAACTGTTGTTATATGCATACCTACCTTACACCTACTACACTACATGTACATTTTAAGAGAAGAGAAAAAGAATTGAAATAATGCAGCCAATTCCCACCATTCCCTCTCTTACAAGAAACAAATGACTTGGAATAAATTAGAAGTGCCAGTTACTGTGAGCTTCTCATAGTGAGACCATCTGAAGATGCTGATAGTCTTAAACTTTAGTAAACGTGATTCTCATGTGCACTAGCAAGTCATCAGGGTGCTCACCCAAAAAAGTAGTAATGCATTATTTTTCTTATCATTTGACCTTAAAAATTGAAATAAGATACAATTCCACTTATTTACTAGAGCATGTTATCTGACACTAGTAATCAATACGTCTGACTTGTATCTCACAGTTATGCCAAAACTGTGCAAAATGCATCATTTAAATCCTGTCAACTATATTCCCAGGGCAAACAGAATTACTGAGATATTAAGTAGAACACAAAATTTTTACAAGTTCTCCTCCTAACTTTTAATATGACTTCACTGTATACAGGGAAGACTGCTTAACCATCCTTTTGGATGAGGGAAAGACACATCTGGAGAGCACTCTTATTTAATGAATTTTTGGACCAATGATCTCTTGGAAACATCTGATGAAAACTACAGGACCTCATTAATGAAAAAAGACACAAATTCATTTTAAAGCACCACCTTTCAAACCGTGGGACCTTATCAGCACTGGATTAAAACTAGCATTAACAAGAATAGAAGCTATTAAGTATTACCACAAAAAAATGGTAGCTTAATGTTTTGTGAAACATTTGCTTAGAACCTTTGTCTTTAAGGAAGATATAATTGATATGATTATACAGATACTAAAAGAAAAAAAAAACAACAGCACAAAGTGTAACAAAAATATGAATAAACAGAACAAACAGATATTATGCAACCTATACAAAACAGACTATTTTTTTTTACTTTGCTCTCCACTAGGATTTTTGAGGCTATTTCCTCAAGTTTAACTGCCTATTTACTCAACCAAAATATTAACTTCTAGGAGAGGATGCTAGGAACCTCTAGCATTTGTGTATATAAAGTCCTAAGCTTTGTTCTATTATTTTAAGTCATACACTTTAATTTCTTATTCAAGTTCACATTAAGTATGTAAGATTATTGATGTTGTTCTACCAGTAAATTTATGTGAATTAAAAATCCACCCATTTCAAGTATATTATCCAATGGTTCTTGGTACAGTCAACCTTCTACCACCTACAGGTTCTGTGTCTGTAGATTCAACCAACTATGGATCAAGAATATTTGGGAAAAAAAACTTGTCTGTACTGAACATGTATGGACTTGAACCCAGGGCCTCGCACTTGCCAGCCAGGTGTCCTACTTCTTGAACCACTCCGCCAGCCCTATTTTATGTTGGATATTTTCAAGATAGTGTCTTGCAAACTATTTGCCTGGGCTGGCTTTGAGTAGCTCCTCCTGAGTAGCTAAGATTATAGGTGTGAGCCACTGGTGGGTGGCTACTACACCATTTTATATAAGGGAATTAAGTATTCATTATTTTTGGTATCCAGGGGCAGTGAGGGCACTGGAATGAATCTTCCATGGATACAGAGAGACAAATGCATATTCACAGGTATGCACAACTATCATCACATCCATTTTTTTTTTAACAATGTTGGAAATCAAACCCAGAGTCTCACACATAGCACTCTACCACTGAGACATATCCCGAGCCCCCACAACCAATTTTAAAGCCTCAAAAAGCCACATATCTATCACTCCCCTCTCTCCACACTACGTCTGCCTCTTGCTCTTTACTTCATCCTCCGACCAAAAAAAAAAAAAGCCCTAGGCAGTTACTTATCCACTTTACATTCTAAGATTTCTTAGGAATGATTAGGTTTTTTTCTTTTTACCCCCTACTCGAGTATTAAAATACTGAACCAGAAAAGTTAAAGGCAAGTACTTGGCTGATTAATTTTTTCCTATCTGTATTTGACTTCCTGCCTAGGAAAATGAGCTTGAAAAGTGTATCTGCTGGGCGTTCGCTGAGCTTTTGCTATACCTGTTAAATTTTCCGTTTTGTTTTTATGGTGGTACTGTGTTTGAACTCAGGGCCTTGTGCTTACTAGGCAGGCACTGTACCACTTGCCATGCCTCTAGCCCTTTTTTTGTTTTACTTGTTTTTCAAATAGGGTCTTGTGGTTTTTGCCCAGGCTTCCCTGGACTGTAATCCTCTTATTTACACTTCCCTTGTAACTGAGATCACATGCACATGTCATCATCCCCAGATTACTGATTTTGAGATGGGGCCTCACAAACATTTTGCCTGGGCTGGTCTCAAACTGCTTTCTTCCTAATCTCCAACTCCTGAGTAGCTGGGATTACAGATGTGAGCTGCTGCACCTGGCCCTCTTCTGTCTTATATTTTTCAAATACCACCACCTCAGCTACTGTCAGCTTTATGCAGATTAGTATGTCAAGAAAACCAAAACATTCTTACAAGAGGCTCAGCTACAGCTTTCTAACTCATGAAGTACCAAAAGTATGTTCAGCATTCACAGTTTTCTATAGCTTTTTTCTAAATCTACATAATTTCTTTTATGCCTATACCAACTTTTCTCATTCAAAGAAAGCATACACATCTGTTCACAGTCTAATAAGTCTGTAAGGCACACAATACAGCATGCTATGGATTTTATGGAATAGACTTTAAAACAATCTTTATAAACTGACTTTGTAATACCTATTTTTTCTTTTTCTTTTGCAGTACTGGGGCTTGAACTCAGGGCCTTCAACTTGAGCCACTCCACTGACCCTATTTTTGTGAAGGGTTTTTTGAGATAGGGTCTCAAAGATCTCTGCCTCCTGGTCGCTAAATTACAGGCATGAGCAACTGGCACCAGGCCCTATGCATATTTTCAAGGCTGGGGATATAGCTCAGTGGTAGAGCATTTGCCAAGCATACGTGAGGCTCTGAGTTCAATTCCCAGCACTGTACAAAGAGACTGTACATATTAGTGGGTTATCATGTAATGTTTTGATAAATGATATGTTGTACAATGCTCAAATCAGGGTAAGGAGTCAACTTGTGAGTTGGAGAAGAAACTATACAATTGACTTGATATCAAACTTAAGAATGTGAATAGAACTTTTGGATTTCTATAATGGACTAGATACATGAAATGGACTCAAGGAAATGAAAACCAACTTATTAAAACTGAAGGGAAATAAAACAGAAGAAAAAGTTGGACCACTGCCCATTTCCTTCTGAAAACAGTAAAGGAGAGTGAGGAGTGAGGAATGAGGAATACAGCTTGAAGGAGAAAGCTTTAGTTTCAGTCTCTGGTCCCTTGAGAGTTCATCAATCTCTACATCTACCTTACAGATGTAAGATTATGCAAGTATTGTTTATTCTAAATATAGAAAAATTCCTATAAAATGTAAATAAATTAAATTCTTATAAACAGAAAATGCAAATAAAGCTTGTACAGGTTAAATATCCCTTATGTGAAATGTTTTGGAATTATGTGCATATACATAATGAGATATCTTGGGGATGGGATCCAATTCAAAACATGCAATTAATTTTATGTTTCAAGTACATTTTCACACAGTCTGAGGATAATTTTATACAACACTTTTAGTGTGCCTGCATTTTGACTATGACATGTCACAGAGTCAGATGTAGAATTTTTCATGTGTGACATAATGTTGGAACTCAAAAAGCTTCAGATTTTTGTCAGTAGCCTTTCTAATGAACAAATTAAGAAAGAATACAGGAAAACAATTCCATTTACAAATGCCTCAAAAAAAAAAAAAAACCTAGGAATAAACTTAGCAAAAAAAAGTGAAAGACCTCTATAATGAAAACTATAGGCTACTGAAGAAAGAAACTGAAGACTACAAAAGATGGAAAGCTCTCCCATGCTCATGGATTGGTAGAATCAATATTGTGAAAATGTGTATATCACCAAAGCAATCTACATGTTCAACGCAATCCCCATAAAAATTCCAATGACATTCATCAGAGACATTGATAAATCAACCCTAAAAGTCATTTGGAAACACAAAAGACCACGAACAGCCAAGGCAAACCTGGCAAAGAGAGCAACACGGAAGGTATCACAATACCTGACTTCAAACTACACTACAGAGCTGTAGCCACAAAAACAGCAAGATACTGGCACAAAAACAGACATGAAGACCAATGGAACATGACAGATAGGAATCCCTGCATCTATGCCCATCTGACTTTTGACTAAGGTGCCCAAAACATAGGATGGAGAAAAGACAGCATCTTCTTTCTGGGAAAGCTGGTTATCTGCATGCAGAAAACTGAAACTGAAACTAGACTCATGTCTTTCACCCTGTACAAACATCAACTCAAAGTGAATTAAGAACCTTAAAATGAAGTTTGAAACTTTGACACAACTATAGGAAGTAGTAAGAAATACACTGGAACATATAGGCATAGGTAACAATTTCCTAAATAGAACTCCAATGGCTCAGCAAATAAGAGAAACAATGAACAAATGGGACTGCACCACACTGAAAAGGTTCTGCACAACAAACGAAATTGTCAACAGATTGAAGAAGCAACCCACAGAATGGGAGAAAATATTTGCCAGCTGTACATATGATAATGGATTAATAACCAGAACATACTGGGAGCTCAAAAAAACCCCTAAACTCCCCTAAAAATCAATGACCTAAAGAAGAAATGAGCAAATGAACTGAACAGAGCTTTTCTTTTTTTCCTTCTTTATTGTTGTGTTGGGTGAGGGTGGTATACTGTGGCATTTACAAGGTTCTTACAATGCATCAAATATATCATATTTGAATTCACCTCTCTACAGCTCTCCTTTATCACCCATTTATTTTTGCATTTACATGAATGTATACACATTATTTGCACCATATTCATCCTCCTACCCCTTTTCCCCACCACCTCCTCCCTCCCACTGGTGCCAATTCCACCACCCCCAGCATGGGCAGGACCTGTTCTGCCCTCTTTGAACACAGCTTTTTCAAAGGAAGAAGTACAAATGGCAAAAACTCACATGAAGAATGTTCAACATCCCTGGCCACAAAGGAAATGCAAATCAAAACCACACTAAGATTCCACCTCGCTCATGTTAGAATGGCTATCATCAAGAACATAAACAAATGTTGGCGAGGATGTGGGGAAAAAGGAACCCTCATACATTGCTGGTGGGAATATAAATTAGTACAACCACTATGGAAAACAGTATGGAGGCTCCTCAATAACTAAAAAATAAACTACCATATGATCCAGAAACACCAATCCTAGGCATATACCCAAAGGAATGTGAATCAAATTACAATTAAAGACACCTTGCACATCTGTGTTTACTGCAGCACTATTCACAATAGCTAAGTTATGGAAACAGCCAAGATGTCCCACAACTGATGAATGAATTAAGAAAATGTGGTATTTATGTACAATGGATTTTTATCCAGCCATAAAGAAGAAAGAAATTTTGTGATCTGCAGGTAAATGGATGGAATAGGAAAGCATCATTTAAGTGAAGTTAGCCAGATTCAGAAAGCTAAAGGCTGCATGCATACTTTCTCCCATTTGCAGAATACAGGCCCAATACAAATATAAGCAATATTGTACATGCATATAAATCTATACAAAACACATACCCAAAAGGGGGATGGATAGAGGAGACTAAGGGAGGAGGAAAAGAAGGAAATAGTGAATAAAAATGAACACATCACATCTGTGCAGGAACAAAACACAACAAAACACACTGAAAAACTGCTGAACAACACAGGATGGGAGAAAGGGCAAAGAAGTGCAGTGGAGTGAGGGGGTGGTCAGACTGAGTTAAGCACAATGCCCATACAAGTATAATACCAAGGCAAAAATTCCACTGGACAATGAATAAACCCCTAAACAATGAAGGATAAGAATGAAAAATGAGTCATGCTAAGGAGAGAGGTGGAGGAGGGTAAAAGAAGAAAGTAAAGAAAGTGAATATGGTTGATGTACTTTCTATACAAGAATAAAAACAGGAAATTTAAACCTGCTGAAATCACCATAAGAAGTGGACCAAGGTAGAAAGGAGCAAAATGGAGGGGAAGAACCAATTAAGGATATAATACATAAATGCATGGAAATGTCATAAGGAAACTCCCAGTATAGCTATCTTAAACAAAAATATGTATTTTTTTAAAAGATGAAGGACGGGAAGGTAAAACAGGTCTTATCTGGGTAGGTACCACTGGAGGGTGAGGATGTAAGGAAGGGGTGAAGGAAGGTGAACATGGTGGAAATATTACAGGCTTGTGTACGAAAATTTAACAATGAGACCTATTAAAACTATTCTAACAATGGGGAGAGAAGAGGATAAAGGAGAATGATGGAGGGGGTGAATCTAAGATATACTGTAAACAGTTCTATAAATGGCACAATGTACTCCCAGTACAACAATAATATGCTAATAAAAAAATTTCAGGGGGCTGGTGAAGTGGTTCAAGCTGTAAGAGCACCTGCCTAGCAAGCGTGAGGCCCTGAGTTCAAACCCCATGCCACCAAAAAAAAAAAAAAAAGTTTAAGATTTTGGAGCACTTCAAATTTCAGACTGAAGATGCTCAACCTGTTACTACAATTTCAAAACCATACTTGTAGGGATTAGGGTTTGGTTGTATTGTGCTTACACCTTAGTACATAATTACAAATCTCAAGCAATACTCATAAAATGTATGAATGTTATTGTAAGTCAATTCTACCTCAATATGCCTGACAAAAGAAAGCTTTGTAATCCTTTTAAAATTCCTATTCTGAATTCTTTCAAAACATGTAGGTACATACCTGGATGATGCATAGAATTTAAACATTCATCCTGTAGGCCATTCTCACTTTTAGTCCTATCAACAACTTTCTGGCATGCAGATTCTCCTTTATTCGATTCTTCATTTTCACTACCAGTATGATTTTTTTTTTTCACACTACATTTCACACTGCATATGTTTCTCCGATAACAAGAGTCACTTTCTTCCTGTGCAGCACTTGAATCAGTTAGAGCTAGGCAATGCTTTTTGTTTAGCATCTTCTTAATTACAGGCTTGGCAGAAGAGTTTTGAGAACTGTCCATTTCACTGGCAGAAGGAGAAGAAACACAACTGTCCTCTAGAGTTGAACTTTTTTGCATGACTGCATTTTCATGGTAATGAGGATTAGGCTCATACTTTGGTTTTTCTAAACCAGGGAAACAGACAACAGCCAAAAACCAGTGTGCACTGCAAAAAACAAATGAAACTACTAAGTATATAATTAGAAAAGGTTATTATATTTGACAATAAATAGCAATTAAAATGTTTTTTTGAAAATTTTTATTTTCAATTCTCAGTTGTTTATAATCATTCTTACTTGTTCATATGATCACTAACAGAATACAATGTTTATTAAAAAATAACATAATTTCTGTTAGGATTATATAGCTCACATTCACTTATACAAACAATCCTTTGTATATTTACTTGTTTTTTGGAAACAGAAAAATTCTCTCTTTTTTTTTTTTTTACTTTTATTATGTCTGTTGTTATAAGGTAGGAAGGGCTTAAAACTGAAGGTATGTTTAGAAGTAATCCTATTTCTTAGGTCATATTGAAATACAAATATATCAACATTAAAAAGAAATAAGGTATCTAATCCATTTGTTATGAAATCTGAAGTATTAGTAAAGACTTCTCGCTATCAAGTGGGGGGCTCATGAAGTAGCTGAATTCATTTATCACAGCTACCAATAGTAGTGTAGAACATGAGTAAGAAACTGTACAGCTAATATTCATTAAATTAACTTTTTTGAGGACCTATTATTTACTAGGCACAGGCTATGTGCTAGGACAGGCTATAGGTGTCAAGAGCTTATCAGCTAATTACAGTATCTGTCACATAGTAGGGTATTCAATAAATATTTGCTGAATGAACACAGTATCTCCCCCCCTCCCCTTGCAGTGCTGGGGATTGAATTAAGGGCCTCGTGCATGTTAGGCAAGTGTTCTACCACTAGGTCACCAGTCAGAGTATCTTGACAAGGACATGAGTTATTCCACATTCTCTCACTGAAAAATGTCCTATTACCCCCAAGATAGTACCAAGAAACAGCGTGCTCTTTTCACTCACAACACAGAGGTCATAAAGACCACTTTCACCTTCAGTATGATAAAGGCCAGATGGATGAATGCTTCTTTCCTGTTCGTAATTATTAATTACCAGTATACAGTGGACTTAGGTCAGGTTAGGGTAGCAGAAAGACCACACCAACTTCAGTACTTCATTGACTCTGACTCTAAAATACAGCTAATTGTAAATCACATTTCAGTTTTGGAAATAAGAAAATGTGGAAAAATGTGCTTCAAAAATTAATGAAATATAGTATAACATGGTGATTCTCAACTTACAGCTGGAACCCTAGCCTAACAGTTTTTAACATTTCATAACTATGCCAGTATGCATAAACTGCAAATTTTCTGCTGCCTCATGTAAAAAACAGGAAAAATCCTTTTCTTTTTGCCTGGCTGAAAGGACAAAGCTGAATCACATAAGCAATTTCAACCTCAAAAAACAAAGGGTTTTGCTTTTATGAACCGTTTTAGTAGCATTTAATCTTAGGTCACCAGTGGGAGAAGAGACTATATTAACATGGATTATATCCAAATATCAAGTTTATGCTTCTTGATAATTTCTAACACATACTTTATAAACTCAACTTTAAATAAATTAGCAATGTCAGAAAAATAAAAGAGATGACAAACATATGACAGCGTACCTAGTAAAATTAGTATATATATTTGCAGTCTTACCTTTTCAAGAAACAAAAACAAAAAGATCATGTAATTTGCTGCCTATTTTTTCATCTACAAAAGGTACAGCTCTTGTGCAGAATCCTGTACTCTGTTCATTCTCTACCTCTCATCAAGATGAGTGGAACCACTGGAAGCAGGTTTTATTGGCAGATATAGGGACAAAGAAGAGGACTATGCCGCTATCCCTAAACTGTGAGTACCTCAAATTATATTTCTATTTTAAATTTCTATAATTCATTTCTCGCAAACAGCCTTCATATCTTTCATCTAGGAGGTAGGCCATCCATTACTTTATATGACAAAATTTCAAAACTTTATTTTGGGGAAGATAAAGAAACCAAAAAATCACTTTTAAATTTTCTTATAATACTACGACTTAAAAGATATAGACAGCATTAAAGTTGTGCTTCACAGCTATCTATAACCAACATTGTAACATTATAACCTAAGTTACCCATTTGATTGGGGGAGGGGGATTGGAGATTGAGTCCAAGGCAGTGTACATACTAGACAAGCACTCTACCACTGAGCTATATTCCCCACTTCCTAAAACATCAAACATGACTTTTGTTGAGATGAGTCTCACTATATTGCACAATGTAGCCTCCATCTTCTGAGCTCAGGTAATCCTCCTGCCTCAGCCTCCCAAGTTACTGGCACTACAGATGTGCACTAGTAAAACTGACTTTAGTATAAATAAAGATTCTGGCCACACTACAGAGGAAACATAGTTTTCATAGTTGGGGAAGGGAGGAACATTCAAAAACTAGCCCTGCATAGCTGGGCTTATTAAATGTAAACAATATACAGTATGCCAGTCTCAGGCAAAGTTATTCCAGCCATGATAAAAATGAAACAAAGATTATTTCATAATTTGTGTAAGCAGAGGAAAACACGTGTCATAAAGTACCAAATATCCCCCTCTTTTGCCAAATATGTGAATGCTACTTCTTCATTCAAGCAAACCATCACAACCTTAAACACTGCCAAATCACGAAACCCAAACGCAAGTTCTCGTTCTTAAGATTCTCTTAAAACGTCACTTTAATGAGAAAGCCCTGAGTTGCCTGCCCATGGTGTGTGTTCTCCCTTGACACACGTACAGACCCAAGCTGTTCAACTATGAGAGTATTACTGTGAGGTTAGCTGGACCACAAAAACAAACAACCCAACGACAAAAACCTCTCGCGTAAGTGTATAATCGTTCTGTCCTACACACCAATGCCTCTGTAGTCATCACAGCATAACACAAACTATTTAAGCTGCTTGTAATTGTCAGCATCATTTTCAATACATCCAACCACCTTTTCTGTTTTGGTTAAAAGGAGAAGTGTGTTTTACACTAAGGATTCAAATTCTTCTATGTGACTTTGAATAAAGTAACCCTTTCTAAAAAATATTTTCTAGACCATTTTGAGGTACTGGGATTTGAAGCAAGGGCTTTGCACTTAGGCAGATTTTTTTTATACTTATTAAAAATGGTTTTATTCCATTTGATCACTAAAATTAAATTAGAATAAGATATCTAGTTATCTCTTTGCAAAATTCAATGTCTTACATGACTCACTAAGAAACCACATTGTTTCTTAAAATAGGCATTTTCAAGATACACAATTTTCAGAAAGATGTTTTAAAATGAGTTCTTCATCTCATAAACAGATATTTAAAAGACTACCATCACAGTTACATAAAATTCTTACTTACGCTTCATTAAGAGGTACAAAAATAAAATCTTTCTCAAAAATATCTACATGCCGGGTCCATGTTTTTACTCTCCCATGTCGTTTTTGTTGTATTCTGTAAAAGAGATAAATTATAAGCTTCTGAAATGTCTTCACTGTGCTAGACTTTTCTGTTATTTTCATTACTGCAAACTCATACGAACAACTATACTGAGAGGTTTCTCAGAGCATGACTTATGTTACCTGAGAAGAAAAGAGAAGGAAACAACCCCGATAACAGATGAAGCAAGACTGATTATGAGCACTGGTCAAAATCAATGTCTATCATTAACAATAAGATGCAAGATTAGGAACTGCCTGAATAGCAGAAAATATTACTTACATTATTCACACCACCTATCAATTCAAGATACTTAACCAAACACCAGCAAGTATTAGAGCTAAATTATCACACCACTATATGAAGAGGAAGTATAAATGAAATAATTCTAAACAGAACACATTTGTTAACTTGATTGAGAAGAATCATCCAAAGAGCTTACTAAAAGTACAGATTCATACATTCCTGTCTTGTAATATTATAGATGGAACCACCAGTGTCAACCTGCAATCTGTATGTCATAGGCATATATGAAATTTGAAAAAATAGTTATAGTTAGGAAACACTGCTCTAGATATTAGACCTACAACATTTATGAATTCTAGGTATTCTGGTATGATGAATTGTATTAATTTGCAAACTAGAAATAGAGCTAAATGATACAGCTTCAATATGAGTGAGTGACTGAAGACAAAATATGCCCTAAAACTACTGCAAGGTTATTTTAAGGCAATTGAATATGAATTGTGAAAAATAAAAATGATACCTATGATAAACCCCCTTCCTCAGTACAGAATAAAAAAAAAAAAAGCAAATGAATTACAAAGATTTGTGCTTTCTTTAAAACTCCACTGGCCCTCCATTTCACATCCATGAATTCAACCAAGGATAGAAACTATTTTGGGGAAAAACTGTACTGTACCGAACACAAACAGACTTTTTATTCCCTAATGAATACAGCACAATGACTAGCTAATGGAATTTACACTGTATTATGAGTAAACGAGAGATAAAGTATACAAAAGGATGTGCATGTTTTATGCAATGTGCGTACTTATGCAATAGTTTATAAACTAGATTTGAACATTGGCAGATCTGGGTATCTATTTGTGGGGTGGGGAAATCTGAAACCAACATCCCATCAATAGTGAGGGCTAACTATTATGTGGTTCTTTGCTAAATTAAACTTGAGTGACTTACTATGTCTGTTAAATATTTTCAGAGATTAACTTACGATAGATTAGTTGTTTCATGATTTCTCCTCTCTCTCTGATTAAGGCGTTTATAGAAAAAAGAACTGAATATATGAATTCGGTCAGCTTCTTCTTTCTTCAGTTTTTCAAGCACCAAATATCTATTTTAAGCAAAAATAGTCTCAATTTAATAGATATAACAGTTTACTTTATTTATTTACTTTTGCAATGTTGAGGATTAAACCCAGGGCCTTGCACATGGTATGCATGCACTCTACCACTGAGCTACATTTCTAGTTAACAGATAACTTCATACTAAAAACAGTCAAGCAATGTTCAAATATTTACTTGGTCACCATCAAGCTCTATTATTTAGTAACAGACGTTACTGGTAATGTTTACTTCATATTCTAGACAGCGATAATCATTAGATAAGTTTCAGGTAATAAAAAGTGGTCTTATAGAATGAAATTATGACTTGAAAGATGTAGATTTTAAAATAAGACACTCCAAATCAGAAAAGCAAAGTAACTATGTATTTGAACAAAAACTTGAACAGGAATGTTCATAGCAGAATTACTGAAAGTGGTCAAAAAGCTTAAATGACAAATGCTTATCAACTAATGGAAAAATAAAATGTACAATGACATATTATTCAGCAATAAAAAGAAACATACTATGACAGTCAGAGAATTCTGAAAAAAATTATGCTAAGTGAAAGAAGCTGGTCACAAAGGATGCCATATTTATTGCATGACTGCATTTATATAAAATATCCAGAATGTGCAAATTCATACAGACAGAGGAGTCTGGTGGTTGCCTAGGCCTGGGAGTGAATTTGGAGACAAGGGAATGAGGGCTAATGGGTACTGGGTTTCTTTGTAAAATCATGAAAATGCTCTAATATTGACAGTGGTAACGGTTACACAAATTCTAAATATATATGTATAAAAAGTACTGAACTGTAGATTTTAAATGGGTGAATTGCATGTTTTGGGATATCTCAGTAAAGCTGTTATCTTTATGTATTATTTCAACTTAAACAGTTAATAAATCACAAAGACCTAGCCATATGCTGCTTTTTATGAAAACTAAAAAAAATAAAGTTTTATACAATGGCTTTTTAAAATGATTATATATTGATTCTGATTTTTCCATACACCTATATCTATATCAAAACATCCAGCATTGGTCCTTTATATTCCAAAGGGATATTATACTAAATTGAAATGTTTATATTTCTTTCTTTTTTGGGGAGGGTGGGTGGGAGTGGTACTGGGGTTTGAACTTAGGGCCTCATTCTTGCTAGGTAGGCGTTGTTCTACCACTTGAACCACTCCACCAGCCCTTTATGCTCCAAATTTTGTCATAGGAGTATGCAAACTCAAGCTTATGACCATTGTTACTCCATTAAAATGAAGTTATCATGAAAGCCTTACACAAAAACACAAAATGTTTAAGAGGTCTGGCTTCCCCAAGGGCACGAGACCTGTTTGTAACATTTGTAATTCCACAGCTCAAGTTGTAATGAAAGGGATTTAACTTAAAAAATTTTTTTTCTTACATTCAGGCAACTCCATGGGCCACTACAAAAAGTACTATAAGACAATCAGCTCATTGCACAGTCTAAATTAATTGTTGATGTTTACAATAATAAATTCACAGTTGTCCAGGGTCCATGCTACCTTTGATGGCCTAAACTACAAAGGCTACTTTTAAGTACTGATCTGAAGAAATGTGCTAATTCAACGGTTTAAAAAAAAAAAAGAAAAGGAAAAAGAAAAATAATTATATTTAAGAAAACTGAAGCCAGGTGCAGTAACACAAGGCTGTAATACCAGAAATCGCAAGGCTGTGGCAGGAAGATTTGAGTCTGAGCCAGTCAGGGCTACAGAGTAAGATCTTGTCTCAAAAAAGAAAGAAAACTGAATGTATCACATGAAAACAAATTAATGCCTTTTAAAGAAACTAGTTTGGTCTTTCTGATATGTATCCATAAATTTTTCTGTCATACAGTTTTTTTTTAAGGGACATGAAGTATTACAAGTATTAATCTAAGAACAGTCATGTGTTTTATTTTAAAACAAAAAAGTTGATTACAAAAACTTGTTGAATTTTCTTCCATTTGAGTGCATTAATGTATTAATTGCTTTCACTATATTAATCATTTAAATACTGAATGTGGTCGTAAGGCTGATCATTAGTTATTTCACAAAATGGAGAAATCTAATAATATGCATTCTTTAAAAAACGATTATAAGTTTAATGAGAAACTGTATGAAAGGCGATTTTTTTTCGTACTGGGGAACAAACCCAGACCCTTCCACATGTGAGGCACAATTTCTACCACTGAGCTACAACCCCAGCCTCTGAAAGTAATTTTCATTTAAAACAGTTCTTTCTTCTCAGCATTGTATTAACATTCTCCAGATGCAATACATTTCTGCTTCTTGCAATGATGACAAACTTTCTTTAAAAGTCTGTTTTAAGTTGTACAGTTATAAATAGACAAGAATGAGCAGCTTGACACTAAGCAGAATTATTCATTTTAATAGTGAAGTTAAAGAAGTTTCCTCTTTTATTTCACCTCTAAAAATGTCATGAGAAAAGTAGGCCAACTTTTTTTTTTCTTCTTTAATTTTTTTATTCATTTATTCACATGTGCATACACTGTTTGGGCCATTTCTCCCCCCTACCGCCTGCCCTCTCTCTCTCTCCCCCACCCCCCCTTGCTTCTAGGCAGAACCTGTTCTGCCCTTATCTCTAATTTTGTTGAAGAGAAGACATAAGCAATAATAAGAAAGACAAAGCATCTTTACTATTTGAGATAAGGATAGCTTTTCAGAGAGATTCCCAGCATTGCTTCCACGTACAAATGTGGTACAACCCAAGTTGACTCATCTCCCCCTGACCTTTTCACTAGTTTCCAATCCATTTCCCATATTGACCTCTGTCACTTTAAGGTTTCTGTACTAGTTCCCCTGCAGTGGGGACATCAAACACTTTCATGTTTTGGGATTCCTAACTATCCCCATACATACTGTATGTGGTCTCCCCTTAACATGTGACCCAAGTCCAACCACAATGCTGTATTTGCCCTAGATCTAAAGTCTGCATATGAGGGAGAACATATGATTTTTGGTTTTCTGAGCCTGGTTAACCTTGCTCAGAATGATATTCTCCAGTTCCATCCATTTACATGAGAATAATAAGATTTCATTCTTCTTCACAGCTGAGTAAAACTCCATTGTGTATAAATACCACATTTTCTTGATCCATTCGTCAGTAGTGGGGCATCTTGGCTGTTTCCATAACTTGGCTATTGTGAATAGCACTGCAATAAACATGGGTGTGCAGGTGCTCTGGACTAACCTGTGTCACATTCCTTTGGGTATATCCCCAGGAATGGGATTGCTGGATCATATGGCAGATCTATGTTTAGATTTTTAAGAAGCCTCCATATTTTTTTCCAGAGTGGTTGTACTAGTTTACATTCCCACCACCAGTATACGAGGGTTCCTTTTTCCCCACATTCTTTCCAACACCCGTTGTTGGTGTTTTCAATGATGGTTATTCTAACCATCATTGTGGTTTTGATTTGTATTTCATTTATGGCTAGAGATGGTGAGCATTTTTTCATGTGTTTTTTTGCCATTTGAATTTCTTCTTTTGAGAAAGTTCTATTTAGTTCAGTTGCCCATTTCTTTATTGATTCATTGATTCTGGGAGAGTTTAGTTTTTTAAGTTCCCTGTATATACCGGTTATCATTCCTTTGTCTGATGTACAGCTGGCAAATATTTTCTCCCACTCTGTGGGTGGGCTCTTCAGTTTAGAGACCATTTCTTTTGTTGTGCAGAAGCTTTTTAATTTTATGAAGTCCCATTTGTCCATCCTTTCTCTTAGCTGCTGAGCTGCTGGGGGGTCTATTGAGGAAGTCCTTTGCCTATACGTATTACTTCCAGAGTATTCCCTGCTCTTTCCTATACCAACTTCAGAGTTTCAGGTCTGATATTAAGGTCCTTGATTCATTTTGAGTTGATACTACTAGTACAGGGTGATAAACATGGATCTAGTTTCAGTTTTTTGCAGATGGACAACCACTTTTCCCAGCAACATTTGTTGAAGAGGCTGTCTTTTCTCCACTGTATGTTTTTGGTGCCTTTGTCAAAAATAAGGTGGATTCATATCCGGGTCCTCTATACTGTTCTACTGGTCTTCATGTCTGTTTTTGTGCCAGTACCATGCTGTTTTTATTGTTATTGCTTTGTAATACGGTTTGAAGTCAGGTATTGTGGCTTCATTACTCTTTTTGCTGAGTTGCCTTGGCTATTCACGGTCTCTTTGTGTTTCCAAATGAACTTTAGGGTAGATTTTCCAATCTCTGTGATGAAAGTCATTGGGATTTTGATGGGAATTGCATTAAACATGTAGATTGCTTTTGGTAGTATAGCCATTTTTACTGTGTTGATTCTAATAATCCATGAGCATGGGAGGCCTCTCTTACCTTCTGTAGTCTTCCTCGCTCTCTTTCTTCAGTGGTTTGTAGTTCTCCTTGTAGAGGTCATTCACATCCTTTTTTAAGTTTACTCCTAGGTATTTGATTTTTTTTTGAGGCTATTGTAAATGGAATTGTTTCCATATATTCTTTCTCAGTTGGTTCGTTACTGGTATATAGAAAAGCTAATGAGTTTTGTAAGTTGATTTTGTATCCTGCCACCTTGCTGTAGCTGTTTATGGTGTCTAGGAACTTTTGGGTGGAGTTTTTTGGGTCTTTAAGGTATAGGATCATATCATGTGCAAACAGGGATATTTTGACAGTTTCTTTACCTATTTGTATTCCTTTTATTTCTTCTTCTTGCCTAATTGCTCAGGCTAGGAGTTGAACTCCAGGACTATGTTTAATAGGAGTGGGGATAGTGGGCACCCTTGTCTCGTTCCTGAATTTAGGGGAAATGGTTTCAGTTTTTACCATTAAGTATGATGTTGGAGGTAGGTTTGTCATATATAGCCTTTACAGTGTTGAGGTATTTTCCTTCTAGTCCTAGTTTTCTAAAAGCTTTTATCATGAAGTAGTGTTAGATCTTGTTGAAGGCTTTTTCTGCATCTGTTGAGATGATCAAGTGGTCTTTGTCTTTGCTTCTATTAATGTGCTGTATTACA